CTCACACTTGGAAATGTAGGATTTGTGAGTCCAGCAGAAGGAACAAGAGCAGCCCAACTTCAAAGCCAGTCGGGCTTAGGACTATTCCGGTGAGGAGCTTTCTCATCTAAACAGAACTTGGATAAGTGTTTCCTACAGCAAGGACCAGAACACAGAAATCCCACTTCTACCCTCTATTTTATTCTCTGTTATTCTGAGAATCGTGTTTCTTGCTGCAGATCAATCCCATTGCAGCAGCTGAGAGCACAACCATAGGTGGTTTGGGCATTCTCCTGAAAAGGACTGATTGGAAGTCCCCTCTGGAAGCCTCCAGCCCAGCTTCCGACTCCGAGCAGGACCACTGCTACCAGCAGATCCAGTCAGCCATGGTTTTGCCTAGCCAGGCTCTGAGGTCTCCCAAAGACACTGCCTTCCTAGAGAAAATGGCTCTCCCGATTCCAGATGTGGACCTACCATGCAGGACGTGGCTCCTGGCCCTTCTTATATTGTCTGTAACTGTTGTGAGGGAGGTAAAAAGCTGCCCAACATTATGGAGAAACTGAGTCCAGGCCATCTGCCTTCCTGGGGTAGAGCTCCTGCCACAAGAGCCTCTACCACATCAAACCCAGGCTCTGCCTCTTACTAGCTTTACCTGACCTCTTCCCAGTGCATGAGTACGGGTCCATTGCCACGACAGCTGGCACTGATTCAATCACCCCCCCCAAGGTGAACTCCTGCTGTCCTCTCCTCCCCTGTCATTCTGTCATTCTTTCTGCTACAGAAATCTGGTTTTGCTGGTCACAAGTCTCTGTTTTGCAAGGCTGTTCTGAGCTCATGAGAAAAGCAGCTAGACACAGAGCCTCAGGTAAGCCAGAGGTGGTACGAGTTTGACAGGTCTTGAACAGCTGATAAGATCGTCAGTTAAGTCTGCTTCTCTACCAACATGACAGTGAATAGAACAAATATAGACTGAAAATTCTGTCTTTGATGTCCCTTCACATGTGCTTTTGCTTCCCTTGCCTCCATGGGCAAGCTGACTCCAGCAACTTTTCAATTAACTCTTTCTGTTTTCCCTTAACCTGATATTCTATTAAACTGCTTTACATACACATACATATATAGACATAAATATCTCCAGCTAAAGGGAAAGGAAATAAGGAATGTGGTAAAAATTGTATCCTTAACAGTGTGTTTTATATTCTGAAACATTTATGGCAGGAGTGTTTCTATTTTACATTCTCTGCCTTTTACAAAAGCTCCAGCTGTCTTCTACTGGTCAGAATTTGGTCAGAATTAAGATGACAGAGGTTCAGAAGACTAAGTCTTCTTATAATTATTTTCTTTCATAAGGTGGCAGGGTCATATTAATTCCTTTAACTCTGGGCCTGCTTTGTCATCAAAACCAAACTGAGAGACCATTTTCTGCAGCAGGTCTGCACCACTGGGGTGACACATGGACTGCCGAGCCCCACTCACCATTGGTGAAGGTGTTCACGTAGTACCTTCGACCCTGGGGAGACATATAGCTCTGCCAGCCAGGGGGAAGATGGCCGTTGACCACATCCTCGCTGGTCTGAGGAGCTGCCTTTCTGGGTTTCTGCTGAGAAAAGGAAAAGAAAACAACCTATTAAGTCAATATCTAGATAATATGAAGCCTAGCCACACAGACATCTGGACAGGGACCGTGTGGTCTGGCATTCTAGCAACTGCAATACACCCAAAGGATTTCAGTCCATTTCTCCCCTCATCTGTCCTAGCTCCATCCAGAACATGAAGCAGCCTTCCCCTGGAGCACTGGCGACACAGAACATCCTTTGGGAGAGACAGGAACCCCCTCTGCATTTGATGTGCTGTGAGCACCTGGACCTGTCCAAAAAATGCCTCTCGTTAAGCAGTAAAATGCAAAGCATAAAATAATTTAAGTGTCTGAGAAAGAAAGGCATGTGTCTGGCACTCATTTATTTTCATGGGGGATATACCTGTGGGTCAAAGCGCTGCTCACAGAGGTGCTGCCCCAATTTAATTTACAGGGGACCTTCAGATGTTCTCAAGAAGAAACACTGCAGAGCCACATTGCCTATACGAGTAGTGTGCTGAAGTAAACGTACCAGTATGCTGAATATATACTAACAATGTATGGAATTAAAAATGCTTACATGACTGATCTAGGTGTAATCTGGATCCGTATCATCCAGATACAGGAACATTAGGGTCCAGATTGGTAGGAGTGATCCAGATCATTAGGAAGAGCAGGAGATGAGCATCACACTGTCACGGGTTCTCCGGGCACACATGGAACTGCTGCCAGGGTTCAAGTACCACCTCAGCTGTACACGTCCTCGCCAGCTCAGCTGCAAGCCTTAGGGCAGGTCCAGGGTGCAATGGAAAGAAAGAGGTGACGCTGAAGCGCCAGTGACTGCACTGCACTACATCTCCTGGGCTGCTTCCCTCTGCCAGGTACCTCTGCTGGATTTACAGCAGCTGCTGGATGTGAGACTGGCAAAGGGGTATGCATCCCAAAGGAGGCATGAACCCTGCCTCGGCCCTTCAGCTGGAAGGGCTGAATAAGGCAAAGGTAGAGAGCTACGCTGTATGGCCAGGAGTCCCAGCTGCAGCCCTGCGGGGTTCTGGCTCTGAACCCCACAGCTTCCTCCGGGCTCACATCCAGAGCGCTCCACTTTGCTGTTCCACATTCCCTAAGGCAAACCAGTCATGAAATGTACTAATTTTTGTTTGTTTGTTTACATTGCCCTCAAAGGAAGAAATACAAAAGAGCAAGGAAAAATGTGTGAAATAGAATTATTTATGGTGTGGAAGCTAATCTCTACCCAGGACACACCTCCTGACACAGTGGGGGACAGGTCTGAAGTGACCGCACGTGATTCACAAGCAGCCACGTACAAGGAACAGGCAGAGTCTCAGCATCTGGCTGCATGCAATGCGCAAGCATTGTCAGAGGTGTGAACAGGACTGTCAGAAAGAAACCTGTGATGTGTCTTCCTTCTACACATTCAGTCTCTGGGTGAAATTTCAACTCCGTTCCAGCCTAGAATAAAAGGGACATTTAATGATTTTGGAGCTAAAAGTCCATTCTGTGTTTCTTTCCAGTTTCAGAACCCTGATTACAAGGCTCCCAAGGGGCACAGAACACGAGAATGATCTGTTCATGCCTCGTCAAGCTTACTTGCTGGGAGAGGTCACAGGCCGCAGGGCAGCCACACGGACCCGAGGCCAGTGTGGGATGAACACCTTCTCACCACCGCAGCACAGATGGAGCCTCTGCTGGTTTGGGTTTTAGCTCCTGAGGTACAGCCTGTGAGACCCCGCTGGCCTAGCATGAACTGAACAAGGTAGCTCAGGAGATACTAAGGGACCCTGCCAGGTTTCTGACTCAAATCCCATGCTCTGCATGCCTATGGCTAGCAGGATGGTACACAGAATTAATCAGTAGTCTCTCTGCCATCTATTCCTGTCCCCTGTATTTCTGCTCTCTAAGGTTCAAATCAATTTACAATTCCACTCACCCTGCTGTACATGTGAGAAAGCAGAATCTTTCACAGTTTATGCTTCTATTTGATTTTTTTTTCCTGATCTCAGCTTAGGATGCAAGTGAGAACTTCTCTTCCACATTAGCCTGCCCAAAGGCACACGTTCTCATTATCATCAGTGTTACACCGTTGCCTAGAAATGCACTAAATGCAATCCCTGCCTGCGTGAAGCCAGCAGAGCCAAGCCTGTTCTGTGATCACAGGGGCAGGATCCCCCCACATGTGGCACTCAAATACATCTCTGTTTCATATAGCTTTCTGTGAAAGCTCTGAATCCTACCCATGAAAACATTAAACCTCATGAATATGACAGGAAAATTAAGCTACCCGTTTTACCTCTGGGTTATCCGAGTTCCTTTCCAGCATGATATGGGGGTTTATGGAAGTGCCTTTTCTCACTGTGCAATGCCACTGCTAACGTGGCTCCAACAACCACATACGCATTTCCAGTTCTGTACAGCCATGTACTGGCACCACCAGGAACTTGCCAGCGCAGCCCTGACACCTGCAGTATGGCCCCAATACCCATCATCATCCTTTTGCTTGGTCTTACTCTCATGCAAGACTGAAAATAATTCACTGCAGCCCTCCCTGCCCCCCCTGCCCTGGTGTGATGTCCCTGGAAGCACCACAGTGCTTGGGCCGGTGACGCAGACCGGTGGACGGGTGCATGGCACCAACACCTGCTTTTATCACGTGGATCTCACAAACCAAAGCTGTTCTGTGCAAGCTTCCTTCTGGTCCTGCTCAGCGCCTGTCACCTGCCATACAGAGGAGGTTTTCCATCCCACAACTCTTGCAGACACCCCTCTCCACAGTTTCACCTGATGTAATGAAATGCTGGGAAGAAAAAGGACTCTTGGAAAGAGTATGCCTGAGCAGTGCAGTCGCCCCAGAAGCTGCAGTAACAGCTAAGGCAGTGGCTGTTTGATTCCTACCCCCAGGAGTACCTCCTGTCCCTGCACCTTGCACATACACAGTCCCTGCCCGAAACACAAGCAGGTCTGGTGAGAAAGCCAGGGCTGAAAGGCACTCAGAGGTTCAGATTCAAGTAACATATGCAGAGGAGGTCAGATCAGAGGGGAAAGCAAGATAGCCCCAAGCTGTTATTTGAACCACAAAGCCAAGTTTCTCTCCCAATTTGTGGTATTCCAAAGTGTAGAATTCCACAGAGTGCTGGGACAAATCCTGGGAGAACTCCTGAACTCTCCGCCACAGGGCCAATTGCCCCCCGTTATTGTTCGCAAAAGCACACTGAAGAAAACCAAAATTCCATGGTGCAGGAGTGTACCAGCTCATGAAGCGTCTGGCAGCAGGCTGGGTCCCCGAGATTCACTGCACAGATCTCTGGCCTTGGAGATAACGAAGGTGCACCAGACTATCTATCTCTGCTGTGCACAATCACCCCATAAAGAGGAATTTGGGATAACCCAACCCTGGGTTCTGTTCCAGAATCTAGAATCATAGAATCATTCAGGTTGGAAAGGACCTTTAAGACCATCGAGTCCAACCATTCAAGAAGGTACAGAATTTCACACATTTTTACTGCACACTCACCATTTCTGTCCTTAACACCTTCTTCCCCTTCTGGAACTGAAGTCCTGTGCATTCCCACTACCCCTCTCCCTTACTTTGGTCCTGTAGTGATCCCATGTACAAGCAGGTCAAGACCAGGTTCAGTTCACTGTAGGGGCTCATGGCATTACTTCATTTCATGCAGTTAGCACCAGCTCAAGGGAAGCTCTGTAATTGCCCCAACATCCGTCGAGTCACTTTTTCAGTGTTGCTTCAGGTCTCCCTGAGGGACAGCAGGAGAGCAGAGGTCTCTTGCAGGTAGGTGCCACATCTGTACTCTTAAACAAAGGCTATGCTAAGAGATGGATGTGGGCAGCATAGAGTGGACACCAGCAAATGTTGGATGGAAACTGTATGAAAGCCAAAGGTAAGCCAACGTTTTACCTATAGTCCCTGACAAAATGTGCGTCACTTCAAAAAAGCATACAAGCATTATGTTTTTCAGTTGCTAATTCTATTTTTGAGGTACTCATATTTCTACCTTTGCTTCTGATTCTGCCAATGAAGCAGTGTTGCAAGCACAGTAGTCCCCATCAGTGATGGTCAAGAGGACCGAGTGAGGGAAACCCCAGTACTGCCAAATGTAGAAGTTCTTGTAAACAGTGGGACAGTGGTTTGCATGGACGTGCATGGAATATGGATGTGCGCATCCTTCTGTTTCAGACAGGACTGTGATCCTAAACAGCAGCTCCCTCCCATGGGGACTGCAGAGGAAGGTCCTCTGGATGCTGGGACCACTTCTGTGTTAGAGCCCCTAACTGGTCCCAGTGCAATCCCCTCCCACATGCACTGGAACTGCCGCACCTAGAGCAGCTCTGCTCCCAGCTCACACTCTATGGGGGAAAGAGGAACCAAAAATGGCATAGGGGAGGAATCGAAGAAGAAATGAAACTTGGCTTCATCCTTTACAGCTCACCATCCTACACCCATTGAAGCAGAAATACCAGGAGGCTTTGGGATTAATGGTGCAGGGTGGTAGCCAATGGGACTGGGCTCTGTAATGCATCACAGACCCAGCACCTCACAGTTTCGGCACACCCAGCCACATATCCTTTCAGAAATGAGAGTGCCACGGAGGCCATGGTGGGAGCACATCACCCCTTCTCCACTGAAACGGGAGATCTGAGTAACAGGAGAGACTTTCTCGCTCTGTTTTTCCCAGCAGACACAACCCTGTCCCAGCCAAACCTTCTGTGGTCCCTTCTAGCATCACCACAGTTACACTGGAGCCATGCTTGCCCACCCATGTGGGAGAAGCTTGCGCTAACCTGGCACGTAAGGATCGGCAATCCTGTGCCAGTCCTCAGAGCCCAGGCAGCGGTGAGGCCAGGAGGCAGCGGGGACAGGCAGCACACAGCAGACACTGTCCAAGAGCCCAGCTCCACCAGGCAGGCTTCAAACCTACCCCCAAACCCAGCTCTGACTGGGACAGACCCGTGCCCAGCCACATCCCACAAGAGAAGTGAGGCACTTCTGCTTGCACACATCTTACCTAGTCGGCTCGGCAAGACGTGTGTGCCTCTTGACTTTGATCCCTTGTTCCTATTTCTAGGAGAATTATTGCCAGGATAGTTTATGAGAATAGTAAATCACAACAGAGGGCTGTCTACATGGAGAGGAGGTTTCGGTATCAGCAGAGAGCATTACAAACCAGCAAAAGCAGAACAGCAGGCAGCGACTGGAAGTTGAAACCAGACAGGCTTAGAGTGAAAAGAATCTGCCAGTCGTGAGGGTAAGTATTGGCTGGAACGGCTTACCAGGGGGCCGTGCACTTCCTGCAGTTCCTCCATGGAGATTAAATGACTCTTTCTAGAAGATCTGCTCTATTCCAGAGAAAAAGATGGGACCCTGAAGCCCCTGGCCTGGCTGTGCAGAAGTTCAGGCTGGGTGGTCTTAGCAATCCCTTCTGCCTTCCAAATCTTGCAGCTCCCGCAGTGCCTTTGAGCCAAGAGAGGCACTTACGCCACTCCCCTCACTGCTACTTCTGGGAGCGTCACCAGCTGCCACACGGCGGTTGACAGGCAGATCTGGACCTGAAAAGGATGTCTGCAACACACCGTTGAGGAAACAGGAAATTTGAACAATGTGAGCAGAGCAGAGCACGTATGACCCCAGTGAAATCCTCCTGCATCTGTGTTTGCTGCCTGGAAAGGGGACCAAAGTATTTCCCGAGACATTCAAACCCAAGAACACAAGCAATTCCCTCCTACGAGATTTCCTAGGACCAGAAGTCCATAGAGCAGGGGTATCTGCAGGGGTCAACAAGAGCCAGACACCCAACAGGCTTCATTCTCCATGGCAAGCAATGGTTCTCATCTGCTGTCTGCAGAGACAGGGAGACAGGATTCTCTTGATACAGGCACAGCAGAAAGGAACCAGAAATGAGCAGCAAATGCAAAAGGCCTCTCCAAGCAGAGAGGGCACTGGAGCTCTTCAGCAGCAAACCATGCGCCAGGCAAGCATGTGCAATAAGAGCAGCTCTGTGGGGTTAACCCACTCAGTCCAGGACACTGGCGCTGACAAGAGGTGTAGGATATGCTTTTTAGGGCAGAGCACATGAACCTGACCATCACCTGTGGCCCATTCCCCCTGCATGCACAGGCAGGTTAGGAACGTCAGGGAGAGGAGGACAAACAGCGCAGGCAGGGCAACCACCCCCCAGCACCACAACCCACCCAGCGGCGACGCTCTGGACCTGGAAACAGTATTTCACCTATGTGCTGTGAAGCACAGATTGTCTAGAAGCATCGGAAGGGAAGGACAACGGGTCAAGCATTCTGGATGCTCCTGCAGAAGAAGAGCACCAGCCGTGGCCTGCGGGCTGGAGCCCTGGCACTCGCTGCCGAGTGGCTCAGAAAAGGGCAGCATGGCCAGCAGGGAGGCAGGGGATGCCTCTCCCTCTCCAACTCTTCTGACTTTCTAACTGTTTTGGTTTCTTTTTCTTTCTCGCCCTTCTTGATCAAGTTAGCAGCAGCCCGGCCTGTCCTGTTCCTTTAGAAAACCACTAGGCAACGTGATCCCCTCCCAATGGCGGGAGAAAAGAAAGCCGATCGGGGTTTTACGCAGCAAAGTGAGGCAACAGGGAGCCCATGCTGACTGACCCCCTGAGGCAAGTTCAGCTTTGCTCAATAGAGGAAAATCACTTCCCATTTTCAAACTGCAGGAAATCCCCACTCCCCTTCAAAGAGGGATCCTAGGGAGGAAACATCTGTGCACTTAAAAGCCTGAGCTCCCAGAAGATGTGTTCACCCGCACTGCACTCCAGCAGAGTGTGGCCCAGAGGCTCTCCTGAACACACAGCCCAAAGGAAGGTAAAACACTCCCAAACCCACAAATCCAGGCCCTGAGCAACCTGATCTAACTCTGAACAGGGGCTGGACCAGGGACCACCAAAAGTCCCTTCCAATTTAAATTCTTCTATGATTTTATGATCCTGTTTCAACAGAGCATCCAGCCCTGCAGCAAATGAAAACGACACCTCCAGCTGTGGGACAGGTTTGAATTAAACGCAGTGTCGGGGCCCTTACCTGCTGTTGCCACTCGCTCAGTCACGCCGCGCTTCGGCTGAGCCCAGCAGCACAGAGAGAGGCTGCAGAGCCCAGCTAAGCAGCTCCCCCGCTCCCGGTGCTGGAGCATGGCTGGTGACAGAAAGCTGGACAGAACGTGCTGGGAAACTCCCTGCAAGAAGCAAGGCAAGGACACAGCAGAACTTCCAGAACATGAACCTGCAGCAGAACAGCCCCCTGCTCTGCAGGGAAAGCTTGCTCCGTGCTGACATCAGTGAGCTGATGGTTCTCCCTTAACAGGGGTGTTTATGAACACCAAACTCAGCAAAGGTGTGTGTCAACCTGAGGGTAAGCATGAAGCAGAAGCAAGGCAGGCACGTGCAGTCGAAGAAGCAGGGTCTGTGTCTGAGCACAGCTGATGCTGCGAACAAGACTTGCTAGTGAGAGAAGTCCGCAGAAGACCCTTGGTGGCAGGGATGCCTACGCCAACGTTCGCGCCCATCCCAAGTTTGGCATGAAGATCCCAGCTCCGAGCGTGCCCCACAGACCCCCCCAGGCTGGGCACGGGCATGCCCCCACTGACACGTGCCCTGGCAAAGGGCAGCTCTGACCCCCCCGGATTTACCGCAGCGTCCCCCTCTAGTACTGTGAGTCATTCGGTGTTTTGTTCATTTTTATGCAATCTTTCTTGCTCAACATTTGGTTTCCATGGAGTCACATACACTGGGTGAAACACATTTATATTTAGAAAGTGGAGCGGGTCATATGACCTGTCCCGGTTGTCATGGCAACCAGCACAGCTCCTCTTCGGCTGAATCCGGTGGCACACGGCTGCTGGGGACAAGTCGCCCTCCCTGGGTGGCCCTGCAGCAGAAACACAGCAAGACACTGCCAGCATAGACATGGCCACTGCCCCTCCAAGGCCCCCGGCCCAGCCCCGGCACCCCTCTTCCTCGGGCTCCCTGCCCCAGCTCTGGCCCCCGTCTCCAACACCAGCCCTCCTCCTCAAGGAGAAGACCCTTCGCCTCTGCCAAGCGTTAAGCGTCTCGGGGTGCTGCCGGGCTGGGGCTGTGGGCTGGGCTGTGCCCGGCATGTGCCCCAGGTGCCAAGCCAGCAGGACAGCTCTCATTCCTCCCAGCTGGACAAGCCTCCCTGCCCTAACCAGTCTCCTCTATGCCACGCTGAAGTCGTCCTCACCCCTTCTTCCTCCTACATGACTTCAGCATCCCCAGGCAGCTGCCGCTTCCTTGGACACAATCTCTGCCACCTTCTGGAGGACCGGGTGGCCCGGCTGCATGGATCCCTGCTCCAGGGCCAGCTCTCCCCTGGCTGTGCACCCTCTGTTTGCTGTTTGGCTCTGCGACACAGAAGGCATGCTGCCCACCCAGCTCTGCCTTCCCCGCCAAGGGCCAGCTCTCCCAGCCAGATCCACAGCTGCCAAAATCCTCCCTCCTTTCCCACCCAGGTCCCCAGCTGAGGTGCAGGCACATGCCCAGAACCTGGCTTTAAGGTGATACCCATGAATAGCACCGTGCTTGCAGAAAATTAGCCTCTGGGACTGGCATACTTTTCTTAGCCAGTACCCTAACCTAGGATGAACAAACTATTTCTGAAGGATACATGACCCAGGGAGACAGAGTGGGTGATATCTTCTGGCTCAGGCCTGCATGAGAGACCCAAATGGGTGGGAAGAGACCCCCTCAAAACAGGGGCTGTTGGGCCAGAGGTGAGAAACCTGAGTCACTCCAGTGCAGCTCAGCCCTCTCCCTTCCTCCTCAAGGCACAAAGCCCGGTAAGGGGCCAGGCAGGGAGAGGGCAGGGCAACGAGCTGCAGCTGCGCTGCCCCGTGGTGCCATCAGGGTGATGCTCACCCCCAGCAGCGCAAATCAGTACGTGCCTGGCGGTGGCTGCAGACTGCTTTGGCTGAGGAGGGGGAAGCTGGGCAGGTGTGAGCAGGAAGGGTAAGAAAGATTCAGTGTGGGGAAAGAGCATGGCAGTGGGGCCCTGATTTGCAGAGGGTGCTTAGCAAGAAAGAGAACAAAAAGCCTGTGTCAGGTCCCGGCCAGGGAGCGGCAGCCACGGCAGGAGGGTAAGCACAGTCTGCAGAGCTCAGCCCGGCTGCTGGCGTTCTCGCTGCTTGCTCTGCCCCAGCCCCCAGCAGGCTCTCAAGTGAGTTCATCACTTCCCGATGCTCCCTCATCAGCGTGCTCCCAGCAGAGTGCATGCTGCCCAGTGATGGTATTTAGCACAATCTGACACAGGCGTAGAGTCCTGGCACTGCATGAGCGTCCCAGAAAAGGGAAAACAAAGAACCACCCTCACTGCAGGCACAGGACCCTCAACAGCCAGAGGGGAGAGGTGTCTGCTCTGAGCAAGAACACCTGTCTGGGACATGGTGACTGTGGCTACAGCCTGCAAGAATAACGCATGTATCACCCCACGGAGTGCGAGCATCACCCCCGAAGAAAATACACGGTTGTTTTTCCTTTCTGTGCTAATGGACAAAAAGTCATTTAATGGACAAATCTGCCCCATTCCCTTTGAGCAGCTCCTCACTGCTTGTGTTATCCAGACAAGCTGGTGCATATCAGGCTGGACTAGCCAGGTATCAAACCAGCCATCAGTCTTGGCCAGATACAGGAGAGGCCGCAGGGTCTCTGAGCTGCTACTGGAGGGACCAGGAGATCCAAGCCAACTTCTGCAGGGACCACAAGTTGTGCTTGTTGGCTGAGACCCATTTGCTTATGCATGTCTGTGTGTCAGGTGAAAGGCTCCATGGCTCAGCTGCCAAGTGGACAGGGTACCTATGTCCAGTTCCTGGAAGGACCTGCAGTGGGCGTCTGTGCCTGCAAACCAGCACCTGGAGCGGGGCTGCGGCCTCAGGAGCTGCACCATCAGGTGCCAGCAACTGCAGGGGCTGGCACCCAGGGCCAGCCCCTGGACAGGCTGTCCGAGGCCAGTTACTGGAGGGCCCCACACTGTATGTGTGTGCATTCCCCACTAACAGACCCTCATCCTTTGCCAGCCACAAAAGGGAACAGGACAAGGCTTTTGGTGCTGAGTGCCTCTGCCTGTGCTGATCTGTGCAGCTGGCCATTGGGATACTGACAGCAGAACCATGCCTGCCAGTGTGTTGTACACCTACTGGGAACACACCCTTAGCCTGGCTGCTGCCTAGAGCTGGGGCTACCGAGCCGTGGCAGCCTTGCCTCTAATGCGCTACCCCATTCAGCAGCCCCTAATGCAGTGCACATGCGCTTCCCAGCCCTCAGTATTTGCATTTCCAGGTGCTGATGTGGAGGCCAATTAGCTGAGGTGGAAGAATCCTAGCCCAAAACAAAGCTAAGCAATGATGGAGAGAGATACCTCACATGTGCTGGTCCCCTGTTACGGCCCTGGGGCAATGGGGGAGCTCTGCAGCCCATCTCTGGCTCACGCCTTCCTGCAGCAGCTCAGCTCTGCAGCACCAGGTTAAGA